TTATTTAGATCTTTCTTCAATATTGTCTAATTTATCAGAATACAAGAAGTCTTAATCTCATTCCCATCCTGTCCCAATTCCTAACGAGACGGGATGATTTTTGAGACAAAATGGGACATGAAATAAAAATTTAATTCTGATCTTTTTTTGAGATGAGACACGGGATAAGGGTGTCTCAGTCTCGTCAAGTAAACACCCCTAATCCTGTAAGTGTTTTATAAATATGGGCTGTATAGGGTCAAGGGCCCAAGGACATCGGATTGAAAGGCAAAATCTTGTTCTTAGGCCTCTCTGGGCTATCGTATGACGGATTGAAAGGACATTGGATTAGTTTATGGGCTATCAAAATCTTGCATTTAGGGCCCAATTTTTTGGAACAGGAGAAAGTGCACAAAGTAGATCTTACGCGATCATCGATTAACCAAGTCACGCGCCGATGAGGGTTGGGTCACTTGAGAGTGGGTTTAAATGATGTGACCTCATCAATAGGCAGAATTCATGAATGTATTTCTAACTGCGATTGCAGCATATAACAATAAGATGGTCCGGTTAACAAGAGACAACGATAAAAGTCTGCTGGATATGAAATGATATTTTGACGTTTGACGTCCAAAAAAAAAAAAACAGCGTACCAAACCAGTGGCTTTCAAGTATTATCTTTACAGTGGATTTTACAAGTCATTTTTAATGTATTTTATTTAAATTAAAAAATTAAAATTTATTGACACTCTAAAAAATTAATAAATATTTAACTTTGTTCTTACTAAGGCTAAAATACAAATTTGTCCAAAAAGTTTTCAAAAAGACATGATTAGTATTTCAAGTCAAGAATAAAAGTCAGGCTTAAAAACCCTATTTAAATAAGGGTTCAAGCTTAAAAATAAAAATTTTTTAAGATAATTGTGCTTCTGGCCTTGATAAGTTTTGAAAAAAAGAGCTCAGGTCCAAATAGCCCTCCAATTCTTATTCTTTTTTTCTCCTTCTATCTTGGAATGCACCATTTGACAAATGAAAAAAAACTCTAAACATTCGATCATTTCAAGTTCTCTAGCTCTCTTTATCTCTCAACTCAACCTCTTCCTCATGCCCTTTCCTTTTCTTTAATTGTCTTGCCTCTCCCTCTTGTCTCTTGAATTAGCATCTCTTGACTTAATGTCTCATTCTCAACATTCTATTGTTTTGACTTTTTAGCTCTTTTACTTTCAAACAATTCCTCTTTCGGTATAGACTTTTTTTTTTAGGTCATGAATGTCTTACTAATCACTTTTAAAATTTTAATTTGATTTAAAAATTTTGATTCCTCATCTTAACCTGTGACGATTATATTGACATCCTTCTTTTTATTTTGTTTATGAAACTCTGTTGTAAATTACGATGGCATCAACTAACATGTATTTAAACTTTTAAATCTTTTATTTATTTTTTAGATAACGAGAGACTTTGATTTAGTTTATGTTAAATTTTAAAATTAAATTATAATGTTAAATATTATAATATTGAATTAAATTATTTTTCAGAATAACAACATTAAATTATAATATTAATTTTTTTATTTTTTATTTTTTGAATTTAGGCTTTCGAGCCTAACCCTTAGACCTTTCAATAAGTATTTGAGTCTCAAAATTCAATTAAAATTTAAAAAATTGAGTTTCAAGGGTAAGTTTTTTAAGGGTCGGGCTCACCAATTTTTTCATCTCTTTCAGCATCCTCACGTCTTAAAAAGTGCAATGTTGCCCCATGTTTTTTTAAAATCAAACAATTTTGCCTGGACTAACAGGATTTCCAAACGGTGTTAATCTTGTTGGGTGAGATCCATCAATTGTTGCCACGTGTGGAGGAGACTTTCTGACCATTGCTGTTGCCCTTTTCACCTCACCTTTGTCGTCCCCAAATCTTGCTCACCATAGTCCTCACCGAACACAACTTATTCATCTTTTAATCTTGATTCCTTTGATTTCCACTACTATACTACTCTCAACTGCCACATCGATGACTTGCTTAACATTCTCAACACCCTTCACGTTCAACATTGCACTTATCATGGTCGCTCTATCTCTACCATGATCGGCGCTTCACTAAGCTCGTCCTCTGTAGCTGACCTAACCTCTTCACTATGGTTGACCCAGGTAAAGTGAATTCAATTCCGAATCAGCTTCTTACCCGCTCAACTATATTCAGTTCTCTCACAACCTTCTTGAATTCGCTTTCAACTTCAAGTTTTTCTTTCAGACTTTTGAATGACTCCGCCGGTCGTGCATCGTGCTTCTCTCCATTCAACAGTCCAGAATGAAACTCGTCATCCGTTTTCACAGCTACTCATCCGAATTCAGATCACCTTCATTCTTCTGTGTCCACAACCGCCATATTCGCCCATCACGTACACTTTTTGAATCTCTTGAACAAGTCATCAATGTATCAATTTGAGTTCTCATGATTGTGTGGCTGATTCTGGAGGAATTTGCATTTTAGTAAATGCGGACTATTCAGTGGTTAATAATGAAAATGGGAATTTTGCATTTATTTTCTGGGTTTGTTTTCGTATATATATTTTTAGTTATCTTGGCTTCTTTATGGAGGAGATCGGGGTGTATTTATAGGCTGCATGCATATATTGCATACCAGAGTCTTTGGGATGTGTGCATATATTTTATCTGGGATTGCAAATCTCTTTTCTTTTCTTGTTCAAGCAAAGAAGAAGCTCAAGCAAGTGGCCGTTGATGATGGAGGAAGCCAAAGATAACAATGGAGAGGTGAGGAGGAAGATGAAAAGGTACGAGTGAAGAAGAGGAAAAACCAACCTGCATGGCAACAGTCAAAAGGTCTGTAGCACATGTGGCAACAATATGTATAGATCCCATCTCAGAAGAATTGATATTCTGTTTGTTGGGGTAAAATTGTTCAAAAAAATGTGGGGTAACATTTCGCCTTAGATACCAACTGTGCCTTTCTTAAAACTTTCCGGGCAAATTTATATCTTAACCCTTTCTATTACATGTGCATACTCTTTTTGGACCAAAATATAGAATATTGGTAATTAATTTATAGTTTTAAAAAAATTTATATCTTTTCAATTTTACCCCTCATTAAATTTCCTATATAAGTGCTTTGATAATGATAATTAAAATTTCAACACATCATTTTTTTAAAAAATAATAAATAAAGTAGGGATATAATTAGAAAAATAATTATAAAAGTTACCTAATGTCCTATATTTTAAATCAAATAAAGTTTCTAGAACATGCTTTATATTGTAGTTCAGAGGGAGTATTTTAATTGTATCATTTTTCTCATTGAAATTTAAAGAGAGTAAAAGTGGAAAATTGTGATAAAAATCAATGTCAAACATTTTAAAGAAGACAAAAAATCATTGTTTTTATGTCATCAACAAGTCTATAAGAGTAAACACTTTATTGGTGAAAACATCATCTCTGAACTTATTTTAATAGTTAGAGTTGTGAATAAGAGTTAAGCTTGACGGGCTATTTATTTAATCCTATTTTTTATAAGGATTCAAGTTTGAAAAAATGATTTTTTTTTATAGAAAAATCAAACTTCAAAGCTTGGCCCTAATAAGCCTTAAAGATAAGGGAAGAGGTTCAAGCAGCTTGTTTAGACCCTTTTTTATTTTTGCCCTAAAAATAAAATATTTTTAATTTTTAAATTAAATTTAAACTTTACTATATATATATATTTATACTTTAAAATTAAAATTTTTATTTTTTATTTTAAATTTTTAACATTATAATTTGTATTTTATAAAAGCAAATGAAATATTATAGCTAAAAATTTTGATTTTTTAAATTTAAAAAAAATAATGGAAGTAAATTTATGGGCTCAATCTTAAGCCTTATAAATAAGAATTGGGTTTCAAAAAATAATTGGTTTTAGAGTAACTGGGCTTATAGGCTTAAGCTCATATCGTTTTGACCCATCCATTTCTCGTCTCTATTAGTAGTAACAATATAGACTCATGTTGAATTTTTGTTAGTATTACTTATGGACTAGAAATGTATCCAAGAGAGCAAGAAGGGCTGCTTCCTCCCACCTCCCCCCCCCCCCAAAAAAAAACTTGTATGCTTCCTTGGTAAAAAAGGACCCCTTTAATCCAAAATATTAGCAGTATTTGGGGGAGAAAAAATTGCATACTAATAAAGCCTTTGTTCCTATAAAAATATATACTATTGTTTTTCTTTTTCATTTCTAGTTCTAATTACCAATACATTTTTTTTTTACCTTTAGTCTCAATTACCAATACATTCCATGATGAATGAGATACTCCTTCCGTCCCAAATTATATGACACTTTTAAAAAAATTTTTCCATCCCAACATTTTGAGTAGATTAAGGTTTCATTAAATGTATTAATTTTAATATTACCCTTTCTCTTTCTATAATTAATTTTCATCACTTTTCTTTTCAATATATTAAATGATGAGTATTTTGAAAAGTTTATATTTTTGTTTTGAAAAAATAAGGTTGTTAAATATATTTAATAAAATTTATTAGTATGTAAAATTTTGTCTAAAAATGTCTTATAATTTGAGAAGAATATATATTTACACAAATATCTAGGTTAATAAATCTTTAGGTTACTTGTTTAGGTTAGTTATATTTTAAACCAGGGTATTAGTTTTGCTTGTAAAAAATTTTTAAACAGATTTTGCCCTCACCCCAACTCAATGTTTTATTTTCAATTTGGCCCTCATTCATTAGCTTTTAGATCCGTCCCTGCCATGACCAAACCACGAAAAAAGTATAACAAACAAATGTAAGCCAGCTTAGGTGTTGGCTTGCAAATTCTTCTTTGCCAAAGACACCCACCGACTCTTGCTATGTCTAATCTCGAAAGCTAACTCTTGCTTCAGCTTTCAGGAAGTTACATGAATCATTTGGCAATAAATTAACAGTACATAAAGGATCTCAAGAATAATATCCAAGTTTTCCCCGCAAAGCTAGCATTCCTTCCTCATCGGAGCACCAAACCATCTGCCTTCGGTTCCATAACCTAAAACATTGGGGCGATAAAGTTCTAATTTTATTGTGTCAGAAACTAAACATTTTCTAGGCTAGTCATTAGATACACAGCTTCCAAGAGTGCCGTCTCAACATCTCCAGCAAATTATATCCACTAGAAAAGCCAAAGCACAAGTTACAACTGAAGCTATGCTAAACTATAGAACGCAATCTCACACAATCATCTGTATATATCAAATCACACAAACAAACAAAAAAAGAAGAAAAAAACAGCGCATTTTACAATAGTTCTAAGCCCAAGCCTCTCCACCTCTTCCCCTAGTATTTACAATGCCAACACTTGCAGACTTCTTGAACTTGGTCAGTTGAAATACTGGGTGCCTGCATAGCTTGCGTACACCCTTTCTCAATCTTAGCCAATGTTCACTATCATATTTACTTCTATACCTATTTTCTATAGTGCCGCCACTCTCGTATCTACAAGGCGTGCTGCCGCCTGAAACAGATACAAATTCCCCGTCATCTGCATTATTTCCCTTCTCCTCAGGGATCCCAAGTTTCTCCTCAACACTCAACAACTCTCTTCTAGGTGGTGATTTCTTGGCATTAACATCTTCAGTTTGCTCCTCTAATTCCTTGCTTTTGAAATCTAGAGGAACAGGATCGTCTTTGCAGGAGGGAGGATCCAAGCACGAAGAAATCATCCTCTCATTAGCAGCGGATTCCTCTCTTTCTCGAAGGGTCTTCAGAATCAGAGTTTTGAGAAAATTCATTACTTGCACGGCGTGAATTAGTGCAGTCAAAGGATCAGCCATCTGCATAATAACCCAAGGGAATTTATATTCAAATGAAAATATCAATATACAAAGAGGATGCACTTGCTGGTCACTAGGTCTAGGATTCAGTAATCTTTGATTATTGTTAACTAATGGCATATCATGATTAATTTGATTGAAACAAGTTGTATAAAGCGTTAAAATCATCCGGACAAAAAACCACCAAAAAAATCCAGCATTCAGAAATTCAGTTGTCCACATCAATAATAGTAGATTAGTGCATAAGTGGTAGGGGTTAGCAGTGATCTCCGTGTTATAAATGTCAAACAAGTGCATTCCTGCTTCTTGGAGGTTAAATCTGTTAAAAGCATTTCTGGTAGTGAGTGCCAGAAACTTGAATTCTGCACCAATAGGCCCAACTATACGATGTTGAGTATAACTAACAGTGTAACGAACCTGGGTCATATTGGGTGCAAAAACCATAGCAATATTTCGAGCATTCATCTTGTTGTACTGTTCATGCTCCACAACATCTGCCATCAGATTGATGGCCCAGTCAAGCAGTGCAGCTTCTGTTGGAGGAAGCAACTCCTCTAGTTTAGTACAGTCATCTTCTGTGTTGCAGCGCATCACCTGTTCCGGGGTGAGAGAATCAAGCACTCCTGTTGGAAGTTCTCTAAACCAAGCCTAAGAGACATGAAAGGAAGAAGACATGAGAAGTAGTTAATGCATGTAGAGTTTATAATTAGATTAGACTAAATGGCATGACCATGTGCAATTGACCAATCTCAACATGACTTCCTCGTAAATAGCTGAATTGTTTCACTTTCATCTTGCAGATCACATACAAATCTATCTTAATTAACAAAGCTATATTAACTTCAACATAAACCCCTTGATCAAGAGGGTAGTCTAGACTTCTATTCATTGAAATGGACCTATTTTACCTTTATCAAACCAGATAAACAATGAACTTCAATTCCATGAGGCACTACACCCCTGTTTAGCTGACTGCGAACAAACTCCTCCTGGCTGTTTTCTGGATTGATTCGGAATATTCCTTCTGCCTTCAGGAATTGCAGGCATCAAATTAAATCTCAATATCATGATGCAAAAAGCATGATTAAAATATTCTTTAACAACTAATTTGCATAGATATAGAACATACTTTAAGGCCTCCCTCTGAATACAATCGCTTTTGCATCGTCAGAAGAATTGTGGGGACACAGTTTCCCCTATAATCATAAGAGCACTGCATCGACTTTGCAGAAACCCCAAATGCCCTCACACTGAATGATGCAAAGATGATATGAGAATTCAGTCCAAAAAACAACGTTAGCTGGAATCAGAAAGACAACTAGAGTAGTGCCTCAGGACAAACACACTGATACCTTAGCATATTTTTCCTTACCCGGTGAATTGTAGAGGGAGAAACAAGGGATTCACAACAAACATGGCAAGAACATATAAGGATCCTTTTCTAATTGTATCGATTATGCAGTCCAAATTCAAACAGATATCTGAATATCTTTTACCGAGTAATCTGACCATGTGAATCAGCAAATTAACATATTAAGAACTAATGTTAACATATTGAGCAGATTAACATATCTGCATTTGACTAAATCAAACAAACCAAAACTACTGGTGAAGGCTCGCATAACTTTCAGAATTTTTTTTTAATTAAAAAAAAAAGTAAAAGATCTGCAGTGGAACTTGCAAGAAACACAGAAAAGGGGACATAGAAGCTCCCCTTAACTGAGCCACCATACAAAGAACCCGAATTCGTCTTTCAGGACACTCTGACGCACGCAAAGAATTTAAATGCGTTAAGGAAGCAAAATTGTCCCCTATGCATATGTAAAAAATAAAACTGCATCAAATTCTACCGAGATAGCAAGCAAAATTGAACACAAATTGGACATACTATAGTTTGAAAAGAAAAGAAAACTATAATGGCTTTACCTGGCACTAGGCACCCTCCTGGGGACCTCCGGCTCGAGCTCTGTAGGCAAACCCAGAAACCCATTGAACCTATCAAAGGTAACGTGAGATACATGGCGGACCTCCGTTGGCCAGCTTATGTCCAAGGAAGAAACATCCTCTCTCTCGACACTACAAGTGACCAGCGATTTCCTCAGCACCGCCATCAGCACATCCAATATCGCAAACTGATTCTGATTCTGGCGAGCTTGACTTTCCGCTCCGCCGGATTTCGAGCTAGGGTTTATGAACGGCGTCGAGACAGGGTTACTCGATTCATCGTCTTCACTTTCCAATTCCTCGTCGTCGTCGTCCTCCTCCTCCTCTTCTTGTTCCTCCATCTCCTCGTCGTCGTCCCTTTTCACATCCTGAAAAACCGGACTCGGTGTGGGTGGGTTGAGCTGGGTGCGACCCACGACTCCGCAAGATTTGGATCGAAAAAGCCGAGTCATTTGGCTCAACTAACCGGCAAGCAAAAATGGAGTGGGGTTAAAAAGGATCTGATTCAGAACTGCAGGGGGAGGGGGGAGTAGTGGTGGGGTATTAAAATTAGAGGGGGAAATGGGTTAATTTAGAGGGAATAAGAATAATGCAAGATGGGTTTGGTTGAGCAGAGAAGAAAAAGAGAGGGAAAATTGGAGGAGGAGGAGGATGAAAGATACTTGGATTGAGATAGTGTTGCGCTGGCAAAGGCAGAGGAAGACAGAGTCATTGATGCATTATATATTTGTTCTTATTTATTTCTTTTTGTATAAATTAAGAAAAGGAAAAGGCGGGGTGAGAAAGATATGTCAGTCGCGGGAGTGAGGGAGGGAGGGAGGGAGGGAGGTCTTGTGACAGGAGAGAGAGAAAAAGAAGAAGACGACGAAGAGAGAGAGAGAGAGAGAGAGAGGGAGGGAGTAGAGACATGAGAGTGAGTGTATGATATATTGATATTGGAGTCAGTTGGTGACAGGTTTTCTCATAACAAGGTACAGTTGCAGTGAGAGAGTGTATCCATCGCGTAGCACAACATGACTCCATCTTACCCTAACAGTGAAAAACTGTCTTTCCGCCAAAAAGTTGATCCCCAGTCATCATATTCCCAACTCAAATTTTGTAGCAAAAATCACGACCCAGAATTACTTAACAACATTTATTACCATACTGCATTAAATAATTTTAATTTTACTATGCAAGATTAAAAAATTTAAATGAAATTAAAATTTATATGAAAAGCTAAAACTGTTTGTTATATATATAGATATATTTATTTATTATGATAAGAAAATTAATTATTGTTAAAATAGAAATAATTTTTTTTTACGTAGAGACTTGTTCACTACTTTTTCGGTTAAAAAATATAAGTTATTTTTAAATGAATCTCATCTTTTAATAAAATAATTATTTATTTTTAAGCTAATCTTATCTTTTCATATTTATTCTTATTTAATTGAGTGTTTCATTTTAAAATAAATGTAAAATGATTCATTTAATAGGGACACTTTTAAAAAAAATAAAAATTACATCTTAAAAGACTAAAAATACTTTATATTTTTTAACATTCAACTTTTTAAAAAATATCTTATATTTTTTAACGAAAAGAATATATCACAACACTTCCTTTCTACCACTAAACTAATATATTGAGAGTTGTTAATAAAAAAATTGATTATTGTTAAAATAAAAATGAGATTTTTTTATGAAGACTTATTTACCAAATTACAACATTTGTTTTCCTTTTCCGTCAAGTTAATTTTTTAAAGTTACTAATTATTAATGAAAGAGTTGATTGTTATTAAACAAGAATGAGACTTGTTGTTAATATATATATATATATATGAGGGGTAGTTTTGTCTTTTTATGATAATTATATTTAGGTTCCTTGATCTTGAAGGGCAATATTAGAGTTATTTTGTCCTGTAAAGTAATAAATGTTGTTCAATGGCATTTGATCATGATTTACTCAATTTTTTTTATTCTCATTACAATATAAATTAGATTGAATTAAGACTCCATCTTAATATGAAAATCTAGATCAAATCAGTGGTGATCAAAGTTATTAAACTCGTGAGTTTAAGTAAATTCATGATAAAAATATAAACTCATATTGTAAACTAAAATTGTAAATTTATAAGAGTTTACCTCTATTAATAAATAGTCATTAAAATATTATTGTAATTTAATTTAAATATATTAAAAAATTAAATCATTGAAATTAACCCCATGTGCACTGATAAATTATTATATACAAGACATAAAAATTTTAAAATAGGGAACTTATTTTTAATATTTTTGTTTTCTTTTTTATTAGTATTAATTTTCACATATCAAGTTTTTTTTTTTCTTTAAATCAGATCTTATAACTTTAATGAATTGAATTCTTCATAATATATAATTAACTCCCTCAAGTCAAAAAAAATTGACGAGCTTAACAAGTTTAATCAAACTTACATCTAATTCAAGTTTATGAATTAATTAATGTCATTTTATAAGTTAAAAATGTAAAAAATAAAAACTCAAAAGTAAACTAACAAGTTTAATTGAGTTTGTATCCAGTCAGAGTTTATGAATGAGTTAACATAATTTCGTAAGTTAAAAATGTAAAAATATTAAATTCATAGAATCAGCTCAAGAGTTTGATAACTATGCTAGTGAAACTAATAAACTATTAAATTAGATTGATTTAATAAAATATTTTTTGTTTATAATCAATTTCATCACAATTCAATTATAATTTTGATAATTGATTCTTAAATTTCATAAATTCACACACAATCTAAAATGAATATGCAACGCTACTTGTTATAACGAGAAAAAAATATGCTCTTAAATTTAATTTTTGTTCTTGATATAAAAATTTCATTGTTTAAATAAAAGAAAAGGCAATTTTAAAGAAATCCCCATTCTCCTTATCAATATCTGCATCTTTTAAAACATCAAATTTATGAAATATTTTTGAAGTAAAAGAAGCGACATAATAAATACAACTGAACATGATTTTCATTTTTGCGGTCTCTATATTGTTTTTTTCCTATAGTTGGCTCACTCAATTTGAGAAAAAAAAAATAAATATTACGCCTACCTTTTATTTTATAAAATTTAAACTTTATAATGTTATCTTCTCTTGTTTCACAACCAAGTACTTTGACTAACATTTATTTTTTTCTCTATTAATTGAGACGTTCTTAGTTGTGTCTTGACTGCAGAACATAATATTAAAATATAACTCAACCCCTAGTACCATGCCCTGATTTCGTAAACCCTGATTAATTAAAATATTAACAACGTACCCTGCACTACCAGTCGGGGCTTTTCAATGAATTTAAATTATGATATAGAAAATTGTTAAGCATCCGTAGTAGCAAATAAATACTTCTATGATACTGGTGGATTATTTAGATGTCTCTTTTGTGATTGTTGGAACAGTAAAGAAGGCATTTTCAAGCTTTGAATGTTCTGGATTTCGGAATATGGCGCCAATTATTGCTTCTTTGTTCCGCCATCTACATTACTACTTTATCCCTTTCCTCAATTGAATTTCAAACGAGATGACTCATTTCGTTTTCAATTACTCTTTTCATTTTAAATTATAAAATATTTTTAAATAAAATCTCACGTATTAATAAAATTTATTAAATACACTTTACAATTTTATTTTTTTAAAATATAAATATAAATTTTTAAAAATATCCTTCACTTAATACTCTATTGAAGCAATGATATTGAAAAGAAAAAATATTTAAAAAAAATAATATTGAACAAGTATTATTAATAAAATTTTATTTTTATTAAAATGTTTTAAGATGCTGAATTTTTTAAAAAAATATTTTATAATTTAATATGAAAGGAGAACTAAATTTGCATCAAAGGGTGATTTCCCGCAATCATTAATTTATTGAAGAATCGATCGCGCGCTCATGGAATTATATTAGCCTTGACGAAGCATCTTAATTATAATCAATTAAATTCATTTTTTATACGGTTTCGCGAGATTGAGTAATCAATGCCATTTTCTTTTCTTTTCTTTCTTTCTCTCTTTGTTTTTTTTTTTTTTAGTTTTTTGCCTTCTCTTTATTGGTTAAGGTCTTGTACAAAAGTGGAGGGTTAGTGAACATTTAGTCATCCTGGATGGGACATCTTTTTTGGGGCCACCAAATTTTTTTTGGGAAAGAATTATTTAACTTTATCACCCAAAGTATGCTTAGCCAGATGAAAAATAGAGGGAAGGGATTTAAAAACCTTTATCCATCAAAATTTGAGGACTGATAGTAAATAATTTTTAATTAACTAACTCAATCAATTAAAACTTCGATTCTATCTAAATTACTCATTTGCAAATGATATTTATAGTGTTCACAAATATAATATTTATTTTTAATTTTAAAATTTATAATTTAGTTCATAACAATTTTTACATTGAGCCCACAAATGTTTTAGAGTTAGCCTATATATTTATACAAAAGTCAAGATAAATCCTACCACTTATATAATCTGTAAACCACGAGGTTTTCCTGTAATTTTTTTTATGTATTTCTTTTGATGGTGCGGATTTTCTATTTTTCATATTTCTTTCTATTTTTAATTATTTAAATAAGCATGAAAATCATATGTCAGTGTTTTTACATCATCTATTCATTTTTGTTTAAATTTTTTCCTTTCTTTTAAATACCGAAACATATTTAATAATTAGGTCTTATTTAGTGGCTAATATTACTCAGCAGGACTTTTTTTTTTGTTAATTTTCTCTTCAAATACAAATTATTAAAAAAAATGAACATAAAAAAGGTTCACATTCCTTGTTAACTATTTGGATTACGACAAGGATGGCAAAATTTTGTTAATAAACTTGTCATTCAAGATCATAGTGTGATAAAAAAAAACACATAAAATGTTTATTCATATTAGCTATTTTATAATTAATATACATTGGTTTTTTTTTCTTGACACGAGCCTACCAACAAATTTTAAGATTAACAATTTTGAAAAAGAAGAAAACAAAAAGGAAGAAGTTGGTGAATGATGTTTTCTTTATTTGGACCGTGAAGTTGGTGAAGAATTTGTTGCCTGTCAAGACTTGAGAGGGGAAACGAGTCATGGCAGCGTCATGAGTTTTGTTTTGGGCGTGTAGTGAAAGTGATATACATTGGAATTTTAATTTGTTGATTTTTGAAGAATAAAGTAGTGACTAATGAGAAAGCCACGTCCAACTCAAGAAAGTGTATATATGATTATTATATATTATTCCACACTTTTACTTCCCTTGACCCACACTTCACTTGAATTACAAATGGTATAGCAAAATTTGACGCCACACGTTTCACAACAAACAAACATAAAAAATATTATTACTGAGAAAAGTAAGATTCTCTGCCTCAAAGCAAGGGCAACTGCGCAGAAAAGCCGATCAATCATCAAAAGTTGAACAGGTCAATATCATTTTAAAGAGATAATATAAGATTTACATGAATGACGACGAGTCTGATTAATCAGGTTATAGTTCACGGACTGTATAGAACATTCTGAAAAAAGGGCATTTGTCAAAACGATGAAAATTTGAAGTCACAGGTGGAATTCAAATTGTAGCTTTGGGTTTGGAATTTGGATCTTCCAACCAACAGTGCCTTCCCTTGCTTGGCTGTTTCTGATCAGTTTTGCTTTGGAATACTCAACTTTACAAGTCACATGTGCCTCCCTATGCATGTCGTCTCTTGGTTCTTTCCTTGTGCAAATCTGACATCTTTGTTCCTCTGATTATATTAACGTTACAGGAAACATAAATTAATGCACATTGGTTGGCTTAACCCCGTAAAAATGATCC